CTGGCTTATAACTGTATTGTTGTCACATGGGTGGCCTTTGCCTAGAAGGTACTCACTTGACTCTGCTTTCTTGGCTGCGTCATGAAAATCAGGTTTATTTTTAAGTTTTGGAATCTCACCTTGAATGCAGGGTGGTTTTCCTCACTCAGCGCAGTGTTTGAATCCTTTCCATGGAGTCTCCTTGTCAAGGCAAGCAGTTGATGACAGTGAGGAGGTAAGCGCATTGTAGATTTCTGACATTGATAAACAGGCCAAGAGGTGCTGAGCTGCAGAGTAGCAGGAGTGAAGAGCAGAAGCAAGTAACTCTGATTACTGTATGCCAACGGTAGAACACCATAACCCGCCTGGAGTCCGGAGCCGGTGCTTATGCGCCACGTCGGGACCAGGCAGTGTGTCCTTTCATACACACCCTTTCGGTGCAAGGGTTTTCAGGAAACCAGTGCTGCCTGCTCTGAACACGGGAAGAATTTATAATTTCTTTAAGATGGCACCATTTTCTGGATCACTGGTTTGCAAAGTACCGACTTCGGGGAAGCAGAAGTAGCCTTACCTGTGTTATGCAGCCTCTGCCTGCGGCTGGCTTTCTAACAGCTCAAAAATTGCCAAACCTTCTTCACTGGTGTGAAGTTCTTCCTAGAAAATAAAATCAAAACAAAGTGCTCAGCAGTGCAAACAGGCTTAAGAGATCTTTTTTTTTTTGTAAAAACTTTATTGCAAAGAATGTCTCCCTTTCTTTATAGGAATAGTTTGAAGGAGGAGAGACGAGACTGATGGAGGGGGGCAAATGGTTGCCGAGCAATCAACCCCTGGGCCTGTGCGGTGCTCAGGTAGGGTGGGTGTCCGTGAAACAGAGCTGCTCACTAAGGCCCTTCGGCCGCTGCCAGTGCAGTCCGGCGTTGGGCAGTGTGAGCTGGAAAATGCTGGCAAACCTGACACCTCTCGGGCTCGGCCGGGTGCCCCCGTACCACCTTCCACATCGTTCTCCTTGCTGTTTAAGGTGGGACTACTGCCATAGTCCTTATTTCTCTCTATTACGCCATTTGGCACGTTTTTAAACCACTTTTCCTACCTGCAGGGCACTGTTGTACACGTGCGGTCCGTGTGAACAGCCTTCCTGCCGACCCTTTACAGAAGCAGGCATCGGGAAGCAACGGCTACAGCTCGAGTCCCCGCCAGGTGAGATGCTGTAGCTCACCTGGCACGCAGATCCAGCTAAACTGATGTTTGAAAAAACACAGCTCCTCTCTGTGGAGGCGAGTGAGGAATCAAAGTCACGAGACAGGTAGCTGCAACGCTGCCCTTTGCTAATTTTATAGCCCCGTTGTGAAGGCTGTAGGTTTTTCTGTACATATCCAATTCCTTTGCTCTGTGAAGCAGGTGCAGAACGTGACATTTATTTGAAATGACATTTCAGAAACCAGAAATGGGTCTGGACAAG